ACCGGCCGTCTGGACCTGATCTGTTTTCAAACAAAGGAGCGCTGAGTCTCCTGCATTGTGTCACATGTGTCAGAACAGTCTAGTCAAAGTCCAAGAGAATCTGTGGCAAGACTTTTGAAGTGAGCTTGATTTATCTGGCATAAAATTATGAGCAGAAATGATGTGTGATGAATCCCATAATATCTGCAGCTGAAACTACAACAACAGGAGGCTCTGCAGAGAGTCTGTCATGCCACACTTTTCAGATTTCATTATGCCTTAGCTTTTTCCAAAAGTGAAAAAAAGTGAAAAATTTGACATTTTTTCCACTTCAGATTTACAACAGCCTCTATAGTTTTAAGGTGACAAAAGAAAGATTTATGAATATTTCTACACATTTAGAATTCAATAAGAGACAAAAAAAGAGAAACAAATAGTCAACAACCAGAAAGACAGGAAAGGAGGGCAAGGAAGGAGAGATCTGGGATAAAGAATAAAGCAGCTACATCTAGAGCGAGCTTTGTGTTAGGTGTGTGTGCGTGCATGCGTGTGTGTGTGCGTGTGTGTGTGTGTGTGTGTGTCAGCGGGAGTGAACCGCCCTGAGTGTGGCTCTAGATTAATGGCGGCCATTATCTCAATGCCCAAAACACTCAGTGATGAAGAGTCAGTGCCTGGCGACAGGCCTCGGCCAATCAATTTGTGGCTCTGCAGTCACCTGCCCGGGTCACAGCCCACATACGTTTGCTGTTAAACAGGCGGGAGGGGGGAGATGAGAGGGGTGCAGGGTTGCCATGACATTACAGCAGAAAGCAGAAAACAAATACACAGAATGTGTCACTAAATACAAACAGATCAGCAGAAATTAATCTTGAACTACAGTATCACAATAAAAACCATTTAAACCTAAAGAAAATTCCCCCAATTAAAAAAATGTATGTTTTTATAAAATGACACTTTTTCACCAAATTATTTAAATCCATGACAGACTGGAGAATTTTTTTAGCTTCCTAAACTTTTACTTAGGGTGAGGGTTACCTAACCCTACCCTATCCATAACCTACTGTTTTCCTGAGGAGAAAGACAATTTCTCTAAGTTGCTCCTCGAAATGTGAAAGGATAAATGAACAAATATATTTACTTATAGGACATTAAAAGAACTGCTTACAATTTAAATAAGCAGAAACATCCAGACGGAGATTTGAAACTTAGGGCCAAAATGGTTAAGCTGGAAAGAGTTCCAGGAAATATTCAGGAAACTTTCTTTTCTGGAAATGAATTTCAAGAATAGCTACTTTTTTTCTTTTGCTATCTGACTCTTAATGGCCTTTATGTCTGGCAGCCATTATGGTGAATTAAGTCTGCAAAACGATATTTAGTGAGACCTGGTGAAGGTTGGAGTTCTGCTCATGATCAAAACGAAGCAACTAAAACATTTTAAGTGTTGTGTTTCGTTGGCTTTCTTATAATAATAATTCGTTTCCTGCTGCATGTACAAAAGAACGGAGAAAACACACGACCTCGGTTGCTCTCCAGGTTCCCTCCTCTGTCTCTGCTGCAACCTTTTCAAAGCTAACTGAAGAGCAAAGCAAATTATTCTCCTCTTAGCCAGAAAATTGTGCGTCTTGTGAAGAATGCTCTCGCTGCTGGAGAGAGGTTCCCCATCATTACCTTGAGAGCGCAGAGATCATTCAGAGAAGAAGCCGCCAGTTATTTATTCGGCTCGCATGCACACACACACACACACACACACACACACACACACACACACACACACACACACACACACACACACTGATGAAAAATGCTCAGGGATGCACCACGGAGAAAGGGTGTCCTTTTCTCGGTTTGAAAAAAATATCCCGGAGCGAAGTGATGAGGAACCTGGGATCCGGCAGACAAATGGAGGCGACCTGACTTCCTGCTGGGAACATTTCAACTAGCAGCCATCTTGTTAAACGGACTTCCTGCTGCAGCTGGGGACGAGAAACCTTCCTTCTTCACTCTGGAAATATGGGATGAAATTCTCTAAGCCGTTTTTTTATCTGCTGCTCTCCGACTCTGCCATTGTTTTACTCCGACGAAGCAAAGTGTGTGGAATTAAAATAGGGTTCAGTGGTGAGGCTGTGAGCAGTCATCATCTTACCTGTAGTAGGTTCTGACTGCACCGATCAGAAAATCCAATCACACCAAGTAGGAAAGTCATGTGACCCAAACTTTAATCTCTGTTTGATGCTAAATATGATTAATACTTGTAAAAATAATCCTTCAGCAGAAATGACTAGGAAACAATATTGTCATGGAAACAGGATTCCTAAACCATGTTGACATTTTTCAAGATTAGAGGTTTTTAAGGTGGAACGTTTTCTCAGTCTTATTTTCAGTTTCATTCTCATAAAAAAAAAACTGTTTTATCATTTAACAACTTTAATTATCTCAAGATAAAAAATCCTACTTTTTAAAAATATAAAACCTGTTATTTATTCAATTTTGCTGCAATAAACAACTTTTAACAAATACCAGTTTAATATATTCTATTTAAAGCCTGTTTCATCTTTCTGCCTTTAAAATTTTTGCATTATTTTTAATTTATCTTCATACACATGTAATTATTTTATTATCTCAAGATATGTAGTCTTGTTCTGAGTTGATATTAACAGACTATCTGAGATTAATGGTCCGTTATGTCTTCTTTATTTTAAATCCTCTGATCATCTCAAGATAAAAATCCTATTCTGCCTTGAAATATGTTATTATCTTCAGAGATAACATCTTGTTTTTCCTAAATATCAACTTACAAACAATACAAATGGCCTATTTTAAATGTATTATTATCTTAAAATAAAAATAAATAAAAACACTTATTTTGGTTTAATATTAGTTTAATTATGTCATAATACGGAGATTAAAATGCTCTTTTTGGGCTGATAGTGGTTCAGTTATGTTATTATCTTGAGATATGAATACTTATTTTGTCTTGACATCAGTTTAGTTATGTATATGTTTTAAACTGAAATCAGGTTCATTTTCATATCTTAAATCTCGCTTTATCTTTATTCTAGTCTAATTATCTCATTATCCTGAGAGCAAAAAATATAATTCAGCTTCATAACTTTAATTATTTCATTATATGGATTATATTTCTGTATTAAAACACAATCAAACTAGTTTGTTCATTCATAAAAATGCTCCAAATGGCGTAAAAATGATCCATAAGTGTTCAGTTCTGATCATTCTCAAGAGATATGACTGAAATATTAAAACATAGTCATAATATTAGACATAATCATGAGATCACAAACTAGCCATCTCTTGACAGTTTAATGAGGATTATTTTTCTAAAGCCTGGATTTCAGTAATAACACAATTTTTAATACCATATTTTTTCTTGTAAATAGATGATTCAATCAGATGAAACAAATTATGTTGGTGAAGCCAAACTCAGAATATTGTAGACTAATGTAATATATCAACATGTCATTATACCTATTAATGGACATCAGGAAGCCACGTCCAGCTGCAGGCCAACAGCGGCCTAAAAAGTCTAAAAATATATCAGTTTATCATTTTCAACCAGTTCAAGCGTGAATAGCAGCAGATTGCCTTCAATCACAATCAGCCTGTTTATTGAACCGCCTGGCTGAGTCGAGGCCAGACCTCTAACTCAGGTATCAATGTTTTCCTATCGAGTTAAAACCTCCAGAATCATCCATCGTGGTGGGATAAAGGGTTAATCCCCCCAATTTCTCCCTTGCTGACCTCCTATTGCTGACAAATGACTGTTGGCTAAATGAAACAAGAATACAGCACTCTTAACGACCCAGGCTGATCAATCCCAACCGATCTGCTGATGAAGGAGGCCTATGAAACAGGCCACTCTCTAAATAATCTCTGTTAAGCCTTTTCAAGTATATTTACTGGTTTATATACCTGCAATGAAGTGACTTACAGTAGCTCTGTGTAGTTTGAGTTTCGGCTGTAGATTAGCGGTTTGAACCAGCATTTGACCAACCCTGGAGCACCAGATGGTTTGTGCTGGACGACCATCTGGGAACACAATCGCGGAAAATGTGAGGAAAAGGAAAGAGACTCTAAAAATACTTGGCAGGTGAAGAAATGAACCATCTGTCTGTCACTAACTTTGACCGAGCAGGCCAACAATCCCTACCAACGCGATCAGGAATCTGCCACATGCCAGATTCCACAACACCAACAACACATTTCATCACTACGGGTCCATCTTACGTTGTTACTTCTATAGTTTTCCATTAATCAGCCTAACAAGTCAATAACATGATAACTGTTCACTACTGATCAGTAGGCAACTTAGGGTTATGTAAGCTGGAATTGAACATACAACCCTCGAATTAGAAGACGACTACCCTACACACTGAGCCACAGTTGCCCAGCGCGGCATAACAGCTCATAACCTACTGAATTTACATCCAGAAGTTACCCAGAACCAAGCAGTCTGGCATCACTGGTGTAATTAGCAAACAAAACCCAAATGTTCTTTGGAGAAGCAAAAGCACACAAGACAGAGAGAGCAGATTTTGTTTGTTCTGGAGCCGATAGGCCCTTAACTTGAACATTTGTTGCAGTCGTTAAGACTCTGAGAGTAATGAGACGAGCTTGGAGGAAAGAGTTTAAGTCAGCAAGGCATGTCTATTGCTTCATAGCACTGTCAGGAAGTCTGTGGAAGGGCTTCAGCAAAATAATGAGGATGAAGAGGAAAATATGGAATGAAGAGAACCTGCATTATAATTGAAGAAGGTAAGAAAATGTTTGAAACTTGAGGCTAAGCAGACCTTTTATATTAGGAACATATAAAACTCTAAAGAATGGACGATGGACTTTAAAAAGAGAAATATCAAAGTCTGTTTTCAGTCAGTCTGGAGTTGGAAACCCACTACATGTTCCCATTAATCACATTCTACTCGTTTACATAAAATCAACACAGGTCCATGTAATCCATCTGCAGCAGTGCAGGAGAGCATTGCTATAACCCGACGCCGTCTGCTTACCTTTGCGATCTGGACGCACCAGTTGAGCAGCAGCTGCGATCCGATATTGTCCTTGTGCTCGTGGACGTAGTCCAGGAGACAGCCGTGGGGCATGAGCTGGGTGACCAGCTGGATGGTGGGGCTCAGGCACACACCGAGGAGGCGCACCAGGTGGGGGTGCTCCATGCTGGCCATGATCAGGGCCTCCTGGGTGAGAGGGGGGCGAGGACACACAGAGGGACTAAGTGGACAGCAGTGGACCCTTTATGTACTTCAGGATGGGTTGCACTGGACTAAACAGGACTGGGTCAAACTGGACTCTACATAACTAAACAGAACACATCACAACTGCTTGGACTCAATATTTGGACGGTTGTATAACACCAAATACTTTTAGAGTTGGAGGCAAAACTCCAGGCTTGTGGGATTGTGAATAGCATATGTCCAGATCACTCTCACACTGACTTCTTCAAAGCTCATCAAGCACAGTAAGACTAATATTGAACAGGCACAGTTGAAACACCAAAAACGTCCATCACGCATGCTTGTTGCATGTGATCACGAACTCTTGTTCTGTCTCATCTCCTTCACTCTTGTTTCATGTCTTGTGCAAATGTGTTTTCCCACCCAGACCCCCCTGCACCCCTCTTCTTCCTCCCCTCTTTCCCTCCCTTTCAACAGCAGATGGACGTAGAGGTTTGAACAGTTGGGGTTCAGTGTTGGGTAATTGTTATTGCGGAGCTGCAAAGCAGAAGGACGCGTGGCGGTGATGAAGTGTTATGATTGCGAGGATGGGTACTTGTGGCAGAAGCTGCGATTGCAGTGGTCGGTGGAAAGCACTCTGTTCGGTCGTTCTCATCTCCCTTCGCCTCTCTGACTCTCCTGCTTAGATTCAAGCATGGAGGCGCAGTCCCTCAGCAGCTCTCTGCTACGCTCAAGGACTCACACTAGCTTTCTTTGCATATGGCAAGTGGTCAAGGAGAGGTGTATGCGGGCTTGGCCCTCAGGACAACGGACACATACATGAGGTCCCTCTGAAAATTTATATTCAGAAAATTAATGTTAGAAGGAGAGTGGAGTAGATTAAAACTAAGCAGGAGAAGGAGGCACAGGCTGTATAAAGAAGTTTATGGCAACATTAGAGGCTTCCTGTTCAAAGTAGTGTCATGACATCCACGGCTGATGACTCGCTTTATGCCGATGACCCATGCCTTAAGTTGACTCCACACTTTACCCTGACAACTACAATCTATATACCAATGACTACAGTCTTTAAGCTGACACCTATATGTTTTACGCCAAAAACCACATATGCTGAGGACATGATTTAAAGCAACTACATGCTTTACACCGACAACAGCAGACTACACATTTTACTGAGATAACTTTACACTTTACACTGAAAACTTCGCGCTTTACACCGATGACTACATCAGTGTAGTCATCAGTACTTTATACCAACGACTCAAATCTTTAAGCGGACTACTCCATACTTTATGCAGACATCTACATGATTTACGAAGACGACTACACTCTTTATGGCGACGACTACATGCTTTACACCAACGACTCCATGCCTTATGCAGATGGCTACACGCTCTATGCTGATGATTACAAGCTTTATGCTGACAACTAAAACGCTTTACACTAACAATTCCACTCTGTGAGTCAGGCATCAGCTCAACAGAGGAAGATAAAAGGGAATCTGAAGGCTTTAATTCTTCCGTTGACATCCCAAGAGGCCCTGGAGTCATAAACTATGTCCGGCTAAACCTTCTGTACGCTCCGGGCAAACGTTTGAGGACTCCTGCAAGTGTGTGTGACATTTTGTGACTGTGTGTGTTTTGGTTTCTCTCTCATCTCCCTGAGCACTGACCTCCATTACTGCCAGCCGACCTGACTTTCACCGTCCTGCTCCCTTGCTTGCTTCCCCTCAAACGCGCGCACACACACACAAACACATGCACTTTGGCCACATACGGTGAATGATAGACTTGCAGAGTTTTGCAAAACTGGTGCATGTTTCAGCAAGTGCATGCATGGGGCATTCTAAATGAACAGATTTCACATATCAAATAATCAGCTCTGATTCATATTTGCCAACACAAGCGAATCGCCCCACATTCTTCTCATCCAAACCCTGCTGAGGCTTCATTCTGTGAAGAATCTGCTCTTTGCATACGCATGTGTGTGTGAGCGCGCGTTTTTGTGGATTTTCTGAGTGTGCCTTGGAGCCGGCACTCCAGTGGCCAGTTTCTCAGTGGCGAAGCGTGAGCCTGCCTTTAGATTGCTGTTTAACAAGCCAACAGACAGAGCATATTGGCTCTGGATGGACAGATCCGCCCCCACGCCCTCACACACACAGACACACCCCCACCTCCTGGGAGAAGGAAACAGAGGAAGGAGGAAAGATGCTGGGATAAGAAAAACTGGGGGGAAAAAAAGGTTAAATAGGAACAATAAGAGAGAGCACAGATACTGGGGCATCTATATATAGAAATACTGTTGAAAAGTTGATGTATTTCAATATTTAAGTTCAAAAGGTGAATAAATAAACAGAAGTTGGCATCACAACTTGTTGCTGTTGTTCAGCCCAAGCTTTAATCCAATCAAAGCCCGGGGTCTCTGCTTTGTCTCTAAGGTGTCTCAGACAAGTGCCATTTCATACAAAGAAGGCTACAGTGTTTCCTTCCACTGAACTTTTCACTCATTTTTTTAATTTAGAGAAAAGGTGAATTTGGGTTTCAGTTAGCTACACATTCATTCATGTTTGGAACCTGTTTTCTGATACTTTTTCCTTCCACTCAACTTTCCATTTAATATGCTTGGATGGAGCAAAGTGGGAGCAGCCAGCTTCTTTAGCAATGACCTTCTGTGGCTTACCCTTTGGACTAAATCTACATCATTTCTACTGTTTGAATTGATTTACTGAAATAAGTCTGTAATTTAAAGCACTGTTTTTATGACCTTATTACAGACCTTTTTATTTAAAAATTATTACATTTATTTGGGAATATTTGCAACTGCATCTCGTCTTTTGTCAAAATTACATAAAATCCTCCAAACAGATGGCGAACGATGGCTGTCACGTAACAAATTCGCCACACTTTGCTTTCAGGAGGCTGGACACTCAGTGTGTTTTGTTAAGCTCCTAAATGTCACCAAGACAGCCTCTTAGTGAGACATTCAGGACGACTAATGGATCTATTATCTGGATAAGGTGATGAGACTGAATCACAGCTGATGCAGCAGGCAAAAACAGCTGAACAGTGTCCTTTTGCTGCTTCCATGGGATTCATCAGCGGCTCTATAAACGCTGGCGTTCAGGCAGGTTGTTGATCCGCAGCACAACGCCGAGGTAGGATGACAGTCGAGGTGCAAGTGTTTGACACACATCAACTCGGGAAGCGTACAACGCTGTTTCCAAACAAGTTCAAGCTCATCTGGTTACCGTTGGAAACATCACAAGTAGAAAACATTTTAAACATTAGCTAATCTTCCCAAGAGTGGAAAACAAGCAAAGTCTCTGCAGGATTCAGTTAGCATATTAGATGTTCATGTTTTTAGATATGCATCTGTCCGTCAGTCAGACAAGACTAAAGAAGAGATGTTGAACAATCGTTCAGTTGAATTCAATGTAATTCAAAAATACTCTAATTATTTTTGAATTACCCTAACCCTATCCCGGTCCCAAAAAGCAAAAAAAAAAAAAAAATCAACCACAGGCTCATGAATTGAAGTCTAGAAAAGGAACCAATCAGAGTGAGTTGCCTCCTGGTCCAAACGAGTTTATTAGCACTAAAATAATCAACATAGAATCACTGAGAAAGAGGAGAATCAAGGTGTCTCTGTGGTTCCGAATAACTTGAATGTGACTATATCTGAGCGAAACAGCCTGAGAGGTCAAACCCAGCGTCACTGACAGAGAAGTTCACAGAAACTCCACTGCTTACTTCCTTCTTCCACTTCCCTCCATTGCTCTGGACTCCGATAAAGCTATATCTCATAAGCTAGGAGCTGTTTTTTTATAAGAGTCTTGTTCAATGCATGCTGGCTGTACGCCGCCGTGAGTTTCTCTTTATTACCAGCTCCGACTCAGACTCCGACTCATGAGAAGTTGCCGGCAGCTGAACCGAGACGACCCGGAGTCAGAAATACTCACGTCCATGAACTCCACGTTGGCCTTGGGACCCGTGGCCTCGCTCAGGATCTTTATGGCGACGGGGATCTTCACCGTCTCGCCCTCCGGGACCCAGATGCCCTGAAACAGACGAGCAGCAGCCATGAAGTCGCAGCCACTAGTCCACAGGTACACACACGTGACACACACCACCATGACCCTGACATACACCATTATTCTGTACTTAAGATATTCACATTTTAATGTTGTTCAAATTCAGATCCATCATCACATTGTGTCAATGTTTTAAAAATCAGCTCACGTGATGGAACAAAACGCAGCTGGATGACCTCTGACCTTATAGACAGTTCCAAACGCTCCAGAGCCCAGGATCTTGACCCTCTTCAGCTCTGTCTCCTTCAGGATGCGCAGCTGAGCCTGGTTGGGGGCGGTGCCACTGGGGGTCAGGGGCTCCACCAGCTGGACAACACACACACACACGCACGCACACACACAACACACTCCTTACTTTAGCAATGAAGACAAACAGGCACAATTAGTTTCTGATCAGGTTCTATATTCTAGTAGTAACACCTCAGCTCAGCTCAGCCAATCACAGTTCTGCAGCTAACCTTACAGAAGCTGTCATTGGCCAGGTTTCCATTGATGGTCATGTGAATTTTGAGTAAACTTTTAAAATGTAGCAAAAGATAAAACTTTGATAAAACTTGAGCTAGGAGTGTCTCAATCTAATTTGGAGCAAATGATCCGAGCTAACTATAACAGATGTTGACGCTACCCAGGACTGTAACAAACAGAAGTAGAAGTTGACATGGAGACGGTTCTTCTCTCCAGGTCGCAATTTTTCTCTGCAGCTTAACTCCAAATTATTTGCAGATTTCTTTGACACTATAAAAAAGAAAATGCAGCTGAAACACTTTGGAGCAATGCTACTTGACACACTACTGGCTGGTGTTTGCAAAGCAGCCAATCGGTAAACACCATTCATTTTCCTTGGCTCTGATTGGCTGAAACCCCAAAGTCGAAGTCGTATTGTAGAAGACGTTAGCATCTACTAAGACAGTTTCCACTGTGTGTTTTGATGCATATTAATGTATATTTGTATATTTGGTGTTTGAACATTGAAAATATGCATCTAGAAGTGTTTTTCTGTCTGTTGAGTAGTGGTTGTGGTCCCTGTGAACACAGAGGGGGTCCTACAGCGGTAGGACTCCTAAAATCCTCCCACCTGTCTGGAACCAACAGTCATATTCAAATTCAAAGAACCGGAGCAGAAAAATGCATTTTAAGACAAGAGCTAACTTTTTTCCCCTCAGTGATTGGTTCTTGTAAAATGAACCGTTTTCAGCACATGAACTGAGTGAAGGTCGAGGCTGCTCTGCTCTATTAAACATAATGAATGAAAACCTGCCCTGCTCAGAGCAGCAGGCACGTTTTACACTTTGTCATTTCTTTATCCAGACACAGGTAGAGTTAAGGCTAAGAAAGAGTCAGAGTCACATTTTCTTCTCTCAAAGAGCAATTCCGCAGCATAAAGATGCAGAGTTTGTTTCAGTTGATGAATTTGTCGCAACGGCCACTGTTGGGTACAGTAGAGGATGGGTGTACCCTGCTTAGAGGGTGGATTTTCAGAATAAAAGATTTTAAAGTCACCTCGTGTCGTCTGCCAGCATCATGTAATGTCTGTGGAGCCCGGCAGCTGTGCTCACACCAAAACGTTCCGGTCGGGGTTTTAACAGGGTGCCTGCTCCGCCCCGCCCAACGCCCCGCGCAAGAGGAGCACGGAACCACCAGAGCGCGGCACACCTGTTCACACGGCGGCCCGGGGAGTGAATGGCTCTGATCGATACGCGTCTTAATGAGCGATCAGCCTATCGAGTCCCTGCTGGGCCGCGCTCCATCAGCAGCATAATCACCAGCCGACCGCAGCCATCCAACATTCTAATGAGGCCATAGATCAGCCGCTCGGCTTGGCCCGACCACAGCGCACTCAGCGGTCCAGACCCGTCAGCGCTACGGGCCGAGACGCAATGATACAGCGATTAATGGCCGCCACTACGGCCAAAATTCACTGGAGGCCCCAAAGCAGCATGTGGGACCAGTGAGACGAGTCACTGGAACATGATTCCATTCTGTTTTACAGTGAACACTGTAAAAATGGAAGATTTTGATGTTCGTTACTACGGCAACCAAGTTACTGAGCTGAAGCATTACCTGGCTTCAGTTGTTCAACCTGACCACCTCCACTATAAACACCGGGTTCTTCTTCTCCTGTTTTCTTGTCAGCATGAATACTGTTTGGAGTCTGGAATTTACTGTAAAACTGGAACTTTCATTCAATTCAATTTAAGTTTGAAGTGGAGTAAAAATACAGCGAAATGCCCATAAAGTATATCATGAAGAAAATGCTGCATTTTAATAAATTGTTATATCTTGCATCTTATGCAAAAGCTTGTTTTCTCTATATTTTCAATATGAGGAACTGAATTTCGTCTTTAAAAGTTTTCGTTTTGCGTTTAGCAGCGTGGCACCTCGGTTCAGTTACATTTAATCCAAGTTTAATGTGAATTTACAATTAAATACAATTTAATTTTAATATTATCTTCAATGTTCATCAATAAAAACTTTTTTTCAAGTCAGATTTTATTTTGATATGAATTCAATGAAATCACAATTTAGCTTCAATTCTCAAAGTTTTCATTTTATTATCAGTTTTACTTAATCGAACTGAATGTTTTATCAGATTCAATTCAGTTGTCTAGAATTTTATTTTAAAAATTGATTCAAGTGATCAACTTCAATTTCAGATCAAGATCAAATCAATTCATTTCCCCTCCCAAACAAGCCAAGTAAAAAACAGAGCAGCAGATAGATCAAATACAATTCATTTGATTCTGTTCTTTCACCCAGTTTCTGAACCAGACTTTGAAAAACGGAGACAAATAGACAAGTAGAGGATAAACGAAATGGCAGTCATAAATATGAACCTGACAGCGTTTCCTAAAAATATCTGCAACAACACTGAACCCCAAACGGTCTCCCTAAAAGAGGCGGCTGGTTTTTTGATGTCTAAATATGAAATGTTAAAATATGTTGGTTGGTGCGCCGTCTGGTCCAAAGGAAAACGTTGAAGGATATTCAGAAAGCAGAGGAGCTACGGCCGGACCAACTGGAGAAACTCTCACTGCTTGTTGATAAAATATAAAAATATATTTAAATCTTTAAAATGTCAACGGTTGAACCAAAGTTCATTCTCATTGGAATGCAAACATAAGCAATATAGAGTGCATTTCAATGCAGATTAGATGTTATCTATGCATGCATATTGTATCAGCGGTAGTGTGTGTGCGCGTGTGTGTAGACTGGTTAATATAAAGAATTTGTTAGGCTTATATGAATATAAGTTTTTACTAACCTAAATCTAATTCTAATCATGGTCGTCTTCCATATTCATGCAGACGAATGTTTATGCAGCTGAATGTTTGTTTAGCATTGATCTGTATGGAGGGAATAAGCAGCTAAAGGTTGCATAAAGTTGCAGTTTGATTTTACAAAGTTTACGATTTTGCCTTTTCAGACAAATATTCCCTCTGGTTCTGGTTGCTGTTAGTCTGGAACTTGTTTGCTCTTACTCTTTTTACTTTCAGACAACTATGATGTGCATCCGCGGCAACAAGCTGATTTTTTTTTTTTTCATCAGGAGGCAGCCGATTAGCATCTCAGATGCTCCAATATGTGAACTTTGACCCCCAAATTCCAGAGGAGTTAGTGGAGGACCAAATTATATCACCAGGCAGAGATTTAAAGACCAAAGGAAGTGGATTAGCAGAGCTAGCTAGCTAGCAGCTGATGATGTCATCAGGACTTTTTAGTGTGGAATATAATTTCTGCTGCCCAGATACTGAGGTGTTAGCATGTCATGATGCTAATGAGACTGTAATACAGTCTTCAGTCAGAGGCCTCCTTAGAGTCGTTGCAATACTGACTACTGCTGGAGATCCTTTCTGCCTGCAGCATCACCATCCATTATGCCATTTGTTTTCTCTTAGCTATTTGTTTAATTAGATGCAAGTTTTAATGTAACTTCATTATTACTTGCCAAATAACGCAAAGTTGACACTTTAAATGGACTTTTAATGCAACTTTTTTTTACCGAAAGCCACTTCATGTCAACAGTCAAATATTCATGAAGACTCCGTGTTCATAACAGGTGTTATGTCATGTTTATTACAGTGTCATGTCACCCCTTCAAATAAAGTGTTACCTGTATTTCTTATATTCCTTGCATCATCATATGAGGCTGCTTCAGCAAAGCGAATGATCGTCATCTGTGTGTTTGTGTACATTTTTTGCACGGCTGCAATGAAAACAAGAGCAGCTGAAGGTGGAAAGTGATGGAGGGGCTCTGACAGGAAGAGATGAGACTGAGGGAGGTTACGGGGGGGGCGGTAATAAGAGCAGATGGTGACAGGCTGTAGCTGTTATTGTTTCATTAGGACAAGGCTGGACTGGACTGAGAGGAGAGCTCTATTAAATACAATACAGACTCAAGGCCAGTAAAACTCTCTTGAGTTCGCTCTCGCCCGTGCTCTCGCCACGCCACTTTATTTACCAGCTAATAACGCACAGTGCCGCCGCCAAATGAGCTGCACTGGTGGCGCCGCGGACAGGACGCAGACGCTTCATTGGACAAATAAGCGCCGCGTTCGAGCCTCCAGCCAGAATACATTCCCAGAATTACCGAGCGCAGGAAAAGTAAACAGTGTCTTCAAACATCAAGTTGCTCTGAAAGCCCCTCGGGTGGACGCTCTAATGTTCACATTAGCCGCTCAGAAATGCTGCCGTTGTCATGCTTTGTAATTGAAACACACTGAAGTGAAGCAGCTTTGTCACGGAGAAACCTTTTAGCCAGCAGCTAAGAGCAGAGAATAATATTAGTTATGATCCGTTTGGAATAAAACTACTATTTAGGAAAATCATTCAAACACAGCTGTATTTACTAAACCGATTATTAAATGATGTTCCAGCAATGATACTTTTAATAATCAGGCTAAAATGAATTGGACTTATATAACACTGTATCTGCCCATAGACAGAGATGCTAACAGAAATGCTTCAGAGCATAAAAATATTCAAATAACTCGGCTGAAAAGGAATTTTCATTTGTTTATGTGCAAGCTAGCTTTAGCACTAATGCACAGCAAACCCCAGCAGGAAGTTAGAAAAGTTGCTGAAAAGTTATGGGATTGTTTTTGAACCAGAAAAGTCTAATATGTCACATTTATTCCTTTATATCCTGATTGATGACATATCGCATTTTATCTTTATGGCTTTACATATAGATATGAATATATAATGTAAATTTTAATATTGTATGTCGCAAGGAAATTAATTCATAACAAAAAAGAAACAGTGTGATAAATGGCAGTTTCTGTTTGAAATGAAAGCTACAAATTGTA